CTTCTCGATTGTGGCAGAAAGCATGAATGAATGTGGGGCAAACCTTATATGTTTGCTTTCTCTCAAGAATCACAGTCCTACTCTGCTTGTTACTTAATAAATACCTATGAACAGTTGCCCTATGTATTTTGTTCAACCGTATGGCAACTCACAATAACAGAGTGACTCTAGTAACATATATTTATTCCATCATGGTAGAAAACAGAATTCCTTGTACTTTATTATTATAAGAAAAACAAGATAGAGTAAATCTTTTCCATAAAATAAGGTCACATTTATATTTTTAAAATTTTAATGTGGATTCTGAGTGTTAGAGAATTATACACAGTTATATATGGCATTATGCTTTGAATAAGCACAGACACACCTTTTACAATGTGCCCTAGCAATGAGTGTTATCTGTCCTGGTTATGAAGAGGAGATTGAAAGCTGTTTCTAAAAAGAAGTCAGGGTATTTCTATGATGTTCTTTCCAGCACATTAGAACTTTTCATGAAAATTCAAATCCCAAGTTGTCATAGGAATGTTAGAGATGAGCTGATCAGTCTTCTAATGTTGCCCACTTATCGAAGTTCTAATATTTCTTTGCAGTTGCTTATTTGTGTTCTATGGAACTTTTCAGGGATTAAGTATGCTACCACAATAAATTCAAATTGAGTGGTAAATTTACATTTTCAGTATCTAATTTATTACACATCAGATAGACTAGCCTCTTTCTGATGTGTAATAAATTAGATACTGATAAAGTAGGTACCATCAAGTAGGTACCAATAAAGTAGGTACCATCAAGTCTGAGTATCAAGATTCTTTTGTATGTAGTGGTCCTTGTAGTCTTCATACTGCAGCATAAACATCCTCTGCTCCCAGCTTTTCTGTATTTTTCAGCTTCATGGATCATCATTCCTGTTTATTCTTGGGCCCATTGTCTAAGAGTTGAATTCAGTACTATTTCCTTATTTCATGGAAAGGGATGTGTTCAGGGTGACGTTAGATAATTTGGTCATTCATCCAGTGTTATAATAAGATGGGTATCTCCCAGCCTTTATTTAAATGTTAGATAAATTCAATGAACACGAAGTCAAGGTCTTGTTCTTTTGGAACTCATAGTCTAGCAGAATCACACTAACTCAGAAACCATGCCATCATGAATTTGAATCAAGGTAAGAGTCTAACTAGGAGTACTTAGAGAAATTTCTTCACTAGGGAATCTGCAGCAGGTTTATAACCTACTTTCCTCTCTCCCTGAGGTGTGTATTTCATCAATATTAAAGGTAAATACTGCGCAGTATATGAGGAGGGTGAAGGTCCTCCTCAGGTGTTTTCATTTGAATTAACTACTTTAATAAACATACTCAGGAGAGCATCTGGCCTGAGATAATCCTAAGTTACTGTCTCATCACACAACCCATGTTTTGAAATATTCTGAAGCATGTTATGTAAATGTCCACTTTGGTAACATGTCCACTTTGAAATATACAAAGTGAATGCTTTTACCTGCGGGGTTCACTCTAGTGGTTACCTTGCTCCCTTCACTTTCTGTTTGAATTCAGTAATTTGGAGCTTAGCAAAACCGAAAACTTTTTCATGCATGTTATATCTTTACCCTGTTGGTTGAAAATTCCTCTATGTATTAAAAAATCCTAGTTATTTGAGGTATGTGTGCATATTAATGCAAACATAACCTCATGCTGCTTCAAGATGGATGACAGTATTTAATTTTTCCACGATTTTCAGGAATAAAATACTTTACGTGAGCGAAATTTGCAAAATAACATATTTATCAAAGTAAAGACTCAAAATATTTAACTATTTTGATAGAAATCTATTAAAATTATATTTTAATAAACAGTACCATGAATCTAATGTTATATTTATTTTATTATGAGCATTTAAAAAATATTTGCATGTACAAGACCACATGTCTGTCAGGCTGTTCAGTTAGTGTTTCTGTTGCCTACCTATTGTCTGTTAACTATGTCAGTGTCTGGAAGCTCCTCCTCATCCTGTATTTGTTAACAATCTCTCTGGATTTGGCAAATAATATTAGTTTTCTAATAAAAAGATAATTAAGATTATTGAATTAAGTGATTTTGATTTTATAATACAAAGACAATAGAATAATAAAGGCATATGAGCTTTGTGACTTTTTCATTGTAGAGCATGACATTTAAAACAATTTTTCTTAGTAAAGCATGTTTGTGTTTTGATTATTTGCTGCAAAACTGACCTCTAGGCATATCTATTTATCTATGTGTATGTATTATATATAATAGATGCATATTATTATGTATAAAGAGGTGATAATTATATAACCATTGCTGCTTCTAAACGAAAGATAAAACTAAACGAAGTTTCGTTTCTGAAGAAAAATATTACTTTTTTTATAAATAGTAATAAGAATGTCAAAAGAATTAAAGACAAGTAGGACAGATGTTAGTATGCTTATGCTAAGATTGGCATCCTTACTATGTCATTTTTAGAAATCCGCCTCAAACTGCATATTAGATGTTAGAGAATAGTCACAGTTTCAGTAACATAAAAGTAATAATTTTTCTCATTTATGTATTCATTGAAGCTGGGAGATAGATTACAGTAATTAGTAGGAATCCAAATCTTATAGCACATTACAGTTGTTAATGGGTCATTTTAATTTTCACACCAACCACCTGGGACTTATTTTAGAAACATTAAAAATGTCCCTAGCCTAAGCTAAGAAAAGTGTAGAGCAATCAATGGACTGTTCTTCCCTATAATGGTAGTGATCTAACAATAAGACAGACTGTAGAGGCAGAGCTCAAAGTGAAAGCATTTGGTAAGTGTGAGTCACAGCAGAACTCCACACAGGAACAAAAGGGTCAGGTGAAATCCTGAAGAATGCTGTATGGCTGTGTATCTCTCTTCACTGGACCAGAAGGTGACAAGTGAGTCTTTTGTTCGGTATAGCTTTTGGCATTAAGAGGTATTAATGCTTTGGCCAGCTCCTCTGGATCCCTCTTGCTGGTTTTGTGGGTCCATACAGCAGCGTCTATGTGTTCGCTGTTACAGCTTACTCCAGCAACATTCTTCAGAGGACTTGGACTTGGACTCTTAGGTACCACTTTCCTTGAAGCATCTTAGAATTTACGTAGCACCTGAGAGGTCTGTAGCTAATGACTAACAGAAGACAGGGTACTAAAATCTGATTCCTTGCCCTGGTGGGAAGGAGGAAGGGGAAGCCCTCTGTAGTCTTTAATCTCTAGAGTCCTCATGAGATCAGGCTGAGGCTAGGCCAGCACTTCTCCCGATCCAATGTCTCCCACTCCCTTACCTGTTTCTCCCGGCAGCATTCTTCTAATAAATCATTTGAATACAAATCCTTGTTTAAGCATCTGCTTCTGGAAACTTGGCCTAACGCAGAGGTTGTATATTCATATCTACTCTTTCATTACCTTCCATTCAAGGATCCTCAAAATAATTTTTAACCCCATGCAGAGTGTTGTTAAAGCAAACTAAATATAGCCTGAGAAAGACTCCGTACTTCTATATTTGAGTCCTTGTGGACCAACAGTAACCTAATAGGTAGACAAGATCAAAAACTTAGGAATATGCATCTGTAACAATCGCTGAGTCTTGGTGAATCCCAGAAGTCATACTTCAATCACTCATAACACCGCTGAATGTTCAAACTGTGTTCAGATAAGGCAAACACCAACCTGTAACCAATCCCACTGTTTCTGTACCTCACTTCCAACTTCTGTATGCCGTTTTCCACTTTTTGCCTATAAATGTGTTTTGACCATGAGGCATCCTTGGAGTCTCTCTGATTCTACTGTGATTCTGGAGGCTAATTCATGAATCATTTTTTCGTTGCTTTTTCTCGCTCAATTGAACTCTGCTAAATTTAATTTGTCTGAGTTTTAACAGTGTTATTTGTCAAGTAAATAACAAAATCATAATCTTGGGGAGGGATAAAGCCTTTAATTCTGACTGTCTTTATTTACCATAGAGGAATCTGAGGATTCCTGTCAGAACTAAAAGACAGGTGAGAGAGAAAACAAGGACAGTGTAGGTTAATAAGGTGGAAAAAAATTCGAGATCATGATTCAATAAACATCTATTGAATATTAGAAATATTTTAGGCTTTCTTCTAGGTATTTTAGTTGGAAAAGAAATGTGAAAACAATCAAACAAAAGAAGTTAAGCATTTGGAGTAGTAGATGGTTAAATTACTTTAAGCTGTTGTAACAAAATAGCATAGACTTGGCATTATAAACAACAGAAATTTATTCTTTCAGTTCTGGAGTTGGGAAGTCCAAGATTTGATGTCTAGAGAGGGCCTGATTTCTGGTTCATAGATGGTGCCTTCCTGCTGTGTCCTCACATGGTAGAAGAGGCTAACTAGCTCTATGGGGTCTCTTTCACAAGGACACTAATCCCATTCCTGAGAGCTCCAAACTCATGACCTAGGCATAATATCCTTCTGGAAAAGGGGAATAAATACTGTGAGCACTCTGATGAAAAGACTCAGAACACCAAAGCTGGACCACATTTTCTGATCCCAAGCTCCAGATCACACATAAAATATAAACCCAATTCTATTGTTCCCTGATAAAGTTCACAAACACCGCCTCCACGAAAGACCTGTCATTTATATTATGAGAATAAAGTGCTGGGAAGATTCTCCTCAGATTGTATGTTGGAATTCTACAATTACTGAGTTATGCATTGTCTTCATTGTCCTTCCTCTTAGGCCCTTTTATTAAGTTCTAATCTCCAGATCATTGTAGCACATAAAGTTTTAAAGTACCTGTCCTCAATGAATGTATCAGATTTCCTCTATGAAAGGGCTAAAACAGTATAAGAACACTGAGTAACTCTGTATGAGTGTTAGGGGGTAGTTAATAGGAAAGGAGGTGTAGAAAAGAGCTTGGAAAAGGAAAGGTAGACAGCCTGAAGCATAGTCTTATCTCTTTCACAAGTTTTCTGAGCACTAATTCCCTTGCTATTTATTTTGTATTACAGACAGTGAACTACTACTACTGGATAGAGACTGATGCCTTTAAGATAGTCCTAATTTCAATCTTCTGTCGTGGAGAATATCCAATCAAATTAGAAGTGAAACAAGTCAAAGTAAGCTTTTTTTAAAAACAATATTATCTGTGATTTTGGTGGAAAGATACATTTCTCCATTAAAATTGTATTTATTTTTAAAAAATGTCAATATGGTTTGTGCCCCATTTACAAGCCAACACACTTAGATTATCCATCATTGCCACCAGATATAAAAGTTGCAGCTTTTTTTATTTTCATCAGCTTACTATTTTGACATGTAAAGAAGAGTCATTTTGTAAAATTCTAAACTTTTACAAAGGTAAGAAATGGTGAAATAATAACAACATTTGTCTTCTGTCAGAAAATATTGACATGGTATTACTATAGCAAAATTGGTTTGTGTTGTGAAGTATGTCTCAAAGATAAATCAGACTTCATATTTTTTAAACAATCTAAATTGTTCTTTTGATATTAATGTCTATAAAAACATCAGGACATATAAGTGCAGGAAGAGATTCTATAAAGTAGACATAAAATTTGGATAAGAACCTTGAAATTCCCTGAACACTCATTTGCCACATTTGACATTGACTCAAGTCATTTTCGAAGTATAGTGTGACATATTTCATATTTCATTAGTGTCTAAATTGTGGACTTCTTGGGCAAAAGAAAAGCCCTTTGTAAATGGCTAAGAAATGACTGTTTACTGTTTTTGCAAGATCCTACTCAGAGACCTGGGCAAAGAAAGGGCATACTATGTGAATGAAAAAATAAAAATTTATTTAGCAAATTCATGTAATGGGGAAGAGCCCAGAAGGATTAAAACATTGGCAGCAAATGCTCTTAGCAGTGAAAGTGAACGATGGTCTACTAGTCAACAATATCTGAAGTTGGAAGTCTATCTCACTTCTCGTTCCTTATCAATGCCCATCAACCGCATGCCAGACTCAAACACCTAGTGCCATCTGTCTAATGAGACTGATAAAGCAACAGGACATGGAAATGCAGACAAGGCTGCCTTTCATACTTAAAGTCTTTATTTTGATATTGTTAAGGAGAAAAAAAAATGAACCATAAGCAAAATGTGATTTAATTTAACTGGCTTTAAGATAGTAAATTGAGAAATAATAATAATTCAACTCATTTGCTTTCAAATTGATAACATAATTGAAATTCACCTCATACTTATTAGGTAGCTACAATACTCAAGACACATTCCAGGCAAAGTGAAGGAACACGATGGCTGGTGAAGAGTAAGCAGTCTGCATGGTGTGCTGGCTGGCTGTGGGTGGCCTTGTGGGTCTGGGACATTGGAATAACTGCTGTCCTAGGAGGAAAGCCTGGCAGAGCAAGCTGGGTTCAGCGGAATGGCTTGAGCTGCGGGCTGAGCAGTATGGGCTTTGGGCTACAGATAAGCAGAACCCTCCACAGGTTTCTAGCCAGGGAGATGAGGCCATTAGGGGTATTCAACTCGATGCAACCCTTGTAGGAATAGGTATGCATAAAACTCTTCATTCCATTCACACTCTGTTCAGTTGAAGAGGGGCAAGGTAAAGGGGAAGAAGAGAGAAGGAGGAAATAGGAGTGAACACTAGAGAAGCAGGAAAGGGAAAAAACATATTCTGAGCAAGGAATCAAAGCAGGACTAGGACTGAATGGGAAGGTTTTGCTTGTTTGTTTTGTTTTTGAGAGGCAGAGCCTCGATCTGTCGCCTTGGCTAGAGCACATAGCTAAAATCCTAGCTCGCTGGAGCCTTGAACTCCTGGGAGCAAGTGACCCTCCTGCCTCAGCCTCCTGAGCAGTTGTGATTACAGGCATGTGCCACTATGCTTGGATACTTTTTTGTGATTTTTTTTTTTTTTTTTTGTTTTTTTCATTATGTTGCCTAGGCTAGTCTCAAATTTCTGGGCTCAAGCAATTCTCCCACATCAGCCTCCCAAAGTGCTGGAATTACAGGTACAAGCCACTGCACCCAGCCTAAATAAGAAAGTTCAGTAAATGTTTAGGTGAGAACTAAGTGGAGGACATAATTTGCTGCTCCTTGGAGCTGAGAGCATCTGACAACTCGCCCATTTCCTAAACTAGCGGTTAAACTCGTGACCTGTAGTCTACAAGGCCCTAAAACTTGGATTTACTTTATATAATTTTCTCTTTTTAAACTTATTTATTTTTATTTATTTTTGCTTTTATTTGTATATCTTAAACATATTTTAAATTTGAGTGCCTTTAGGATGCTATGCCATTCTATAGTTCAACACTTTCTATTTTCTTACATCCATGTTTATACACCAGCCTGGCTTCTTTAGGAATTTGAGTTTGTAGTTCCAACTAGGAGATAAAGACTTGGTCTCTGAAGATAAATACAAGGTATTTGTATTTCCGTATGCCTCGAAATTAAGAATATTAAAACACACGTTTAGATACTTGGAAAGATATGTTGTATACTTTCCTCCCCCAATATTTACAAAGAGAACAGTGGGCTACTTGTGAGAAATGTATCAGATGCTCTCAAAGTGATTGTCATGCTTTATCAGCAGCCATTAAAAGAACATCTGCCACAAATATTTAGCCCCCCTGATGTTTTTACACAGTCCTTTGTACCACTTTGGGCAGAAATCACTTGGTCAAATCTCAATTTTCTCATTTTCTTCTTCTCTTGCTTCAGGAAAACTAATAGATTTATTTTCCTCGTTTCTTACTTTTTGAAAAATAATAGGAGCCAATTAAAAGTTATTGAGTAGTATGTTATCGTATATTATTCTGTTTCTTGCCGTGGTTGGTTATCCACAAAAAACAGCTCTGATATTTGCCAACGTACTTAACAATATTGTCAAGTACATTGGTCTCCCACTTATTTTCATTCAGATTTGTGCCTCCCAAAATATCTACAATTGATTCCTCCTGAGTTTTAAGGGCATGTAGCTCCTCTGCCACTCTCACCAATAAGAATATTTATCTGTGTGAGGTTAAGGTAGAAAAAGACATATGTAATTATGACAGGTCTGCATTTGACTACTGAGTAAAATATTTGAAACATCAAAGGTCTTAAGATGTTATTAAAATGTGCACTTAGGATGGGTGAATTTAATTGTATGTATATAACACTTCAATTAAAAACATTTTTAAAATGTAAGATCTAAGACCACTAGATAAACATGGCAGAGAATACATGCATTTATATTTGCCTCCACTTCAAATCCTACCAAAATAAATTTAAAGAAAAGAAAAAGTTATAAATCTCTAGCAGTAGTAAAGTGACCAGAAGTGGAGAAAACAATTAATTAAGGAGAAATGCTAATAAAATTTAGAATGACTGAAAGTGAAGAGAAGAACCTAAATTCCACATACCTGCAGAGATGGATACCAATAATTAGTCAACCACAGGCCCTCAGAAAATGACAATGATAGAAGATCTCAGAAATTGTTTCGAGTACTCCAAAATGGAGTGACTGAAGTATGGAGCTGAAAATGGAGTGATCAAGAATCAGACCAAAGAAGGGTCAACCTGTCTTGAAGATTTGCCAGAATGACAACTCAGACTTGGTTCAAGATTGTTTTTTCCCATTGGTACTAGCAAATCATTCCCAAGCGAATTTCAAAACAGAGATACAAGGGAGCACCCCACTGTCAGGGTCTCTGCATTTCTCCCACACAGGTACATTGGAATTATGGGAAAACAGCTTCGTGTGCAAGAAATCCACAAAGCAGAAGATCTCTATTATCGTGTTATCATGCAGAGATTTGTTTAGGATACTAGGAAGAAATGCTTGCCAAGATACTCTTTTGAGTTTAGTAAACAGCTACAACAGACCTAGACATGGCTCACCTCGGGGAGAAAGCCCACTCAGGGGACAGTTGGGCCTTCAGGATCCTAGTTCTACTCCCAGATGGCCCAGTGTCCACCTTTTCTGGGAGACTAGGGGTTGACTCTTTGCGTACATTGAACAAATCAGCCTTTGGATTTAGGAACACTGGACACAATGGAAAACAAAGAATAGAGCTAGATTTAAAACAGGGGACTTGAGCGAAAATGTGCATGCAAAATGTCAAGATCTCACCCTCTTTTTCAGAGGACAAGCAGCCAGGCCTATAAATTGAGGGCAGAAACTAAAAGATCCTTCTTTGTACAGTGTCAGAGAAAATGTTAACTTACACTAAAATTTATAATTTTACCAGTGAAATAGCTGCATTCACATACCAACTCCCTACATGGAAGCTCACTGATTCACAAGTCACTCCTGAGCATACAGGGTATACACTTAGTTTGTAGGTGCTTCGTTATTTAATGTAGACATTTAGTCAAAGAGCATCAGTCATTTAGGAGAGACTCTGGGATCAAACGTAGAACTGAAAGTCAATAAATGCTAAGAGAAACCTTAGCAAAAACAGACAATGCAGAGAAGAAAAAAATATATATATGGCTCTATTTATGGATATAGATCATATATCCGTATCCTAGATCATAGATCCATATCCATAAGTAGAGCCATATATGTATTTTTGATCCAATATATTAGGTTGGATCATAAATATAGCCATAAGTATATAAATATTTATATATGATATAAATATTTATGATCCAATATATTAGGTTGAGTCGTATGAAACTACCATTTTTGTAGATCAAATGATGAAATAGCAGTAATTTCACAAGGTCATTAATGACCTAATAAACTGCTAATAGAAGTTCCAAAAGAGAGAAAAAAGAAAAATAACACAGTTTTTTTTTTTTTTCCCCCCCAGGGGAGTTTGAGGGTGGGGAGTGGGCAGAGCAATTGCCAAAGAAATAATACCAGATAATTTTATAGACAGAAAGAACATAATTCTGTTGAATACAGGGATGCTCAGAAAGATGATCCTAGCAATGTAAATCATTGCGAAATTTTAGAACATGAAGAATAAGGAATAGATGCCAAAAATACTCCAGATGGGAAAAAATTGGTCACACAAAATAAAGAATGTGAAGTGGTGTCGATGATCTCACTAACAATGGAAACTAGGAAACAATACATGATACTCTTACAATGCTGAGCAAAAATAATTTTCAATCAGCACTTTCCCTGGATGAAAGAATTTTC